AAGGCCCCTTCATCTCTAAATCATAGGTAAAGGGAGAAGCATGTGATTCATCCAGGCATTTCGTATGCATTTGCCAAGCTTTAGCAAGATATTTACATGATAAAGAAAAATTTCTCTCTGTTCTGAAGTTGACAAGGGAGAAGTTATTATAACTGATAATTCCTAAGTAACATATGTCCAATGGGGCTGTGTTTTGCAACATTCAGTACAATAGTATTCAGCAGAGCCACATCAAGAAAAATATATATGTATACATATATGGCTAGATAGGTTGCTGTTGTTGTTGATCCTTTGTTCTCAGAGGACCAGATAGATAAATAGATAGATACACAGATGGATGCATGGATGGATGGATGGATAGATAGATAGATAGATAGATAGATAGATAGATAGATAGATAGATAGATAGAAGCCTGAAGGAGACCAGCAGGGATCAACCTGATGATATTGCCCGTGGAGTGTCAGAGGCATGAGTTCCCTCTCCACATACGTGCCCCTTCACATGTCTTCTGTATACACTCTTCTCACTGCTAGCACATGTATTTGTGGAAACCTGGCCTATATTTCCTTTTTTATTCCTTTCTTTCTTTTTTTTCATAAGGTAATTCAGGGTAAGTGACTTGCCCAGGGTCACACAGCTAGTAAGCGACAAGTGTCTGATCTGAGGCCAGATTTGAACTCAGGTCTGCCTGACTCTAGGCCTGGAGTTCTATCTACTGCACCACCTAGCTGCCTCCTGGCCTATATTTCCTAAGGGAAATATTTTTATTGTTACTTTCATTACCATTCCATTTTATTAAGTGAAATGTTTTTGTCTTAAGCTTTTTGAGCTTGAGCTACCTTTGCCTGACTCTTAAAGGTAGGCACATTGATGGCGGCTTGTGAGCTAGAGGTTTAATGGATACTTACCCATATATCTTGGACCAGGTTTAGCCTTCTCTGGAAGATTTTCCTTGCACTTTGGGGTGAAGGGAAGAGAATCTACTTCACCTAAGTACTTCACATACATTTGCCAACCTTTAGCAAGTCATTTATATAATACAGAGAAATTTCTCTCTGTTTTGAAGTTAACAAAGGAAAAATGATTGTAACTGATAATTCCTAAATAACATACCATGAGTAGAGAACAGGTCATTGTTATAGATAAACCACTACATCTTCTTGAAAGAGCTATCAGTGCCTCAGAAGGCACTGAATCTGAGCAGTAAAGACAAATAATCTATAAAGAAAGATAAGTCTTTACAGAGTGCAGAAACTACAAAACAGAGGACTAGTGATTGTGGAAGTGCTGAAGGAAATATGACATGTAGACTACAGCTGGTTTCTTGACCAAAATAGAAGTTAGTGTCTGTAATATTCAGATTCTACAATTCTTTCTTTCTTTTTTGACAAGAAAAGAAAATTAACTATTTAGAAAACTTATGACTCACATTCTGGGAGGAAGTGATGATATCTTTTGTGATGACAGCTTTTGCTTATGCCTTCAGAATTTCACTTCCTACTTGCATAGTGTATATAAATGTGTGTGAGTGTGTGTGTGTGTGTGTGTGTGTGTGTGTGTGTGTACTTTTTTAAAAAGACATTGACTTTTTCTTTTTGGCAAACTTCTTAATTCTTCTGAAACCCAGGAATATATTAAAGGAATCTCAGCAGTTGACTGATAGTAAAAACTATGAAAGAGAGGGCTGGTAGAAAGAAAGGATTTGGTAGAAATCAAATTAGGCTGAAAGGCTGATCAATATTTCATGGACTTCTAAGAATTATTTCACCATTTAATTCTCAAATGATTACAAAGCACGGTGAAAATCCTGGAAGCTTCAAAAGCGGACATTTTTTCCAGATTCCTAGAGTATTTCCCCCATATTATAAAGATACCACAACCACAGGGCAATACATAGTAAACACATTTCTACTTGAGCAAATGGCAAACAAAATAATCAAAGGAGAAACACAGATACACACACAAACACAAACACAGAAATCAATTTTAGTCAGTATTGTTCTCAATGGAACAAAGCCCAGAGTCAAAGCAGCTACAATTACTTTCTGGACTGACATAGGCTGCTTGGAGAAGTCTAGCAGGAAGTAGGACTAGATCATCAGTTTCCAGACCCTTACTTCCTTGCCCTTCCTACCCTGCTTTTTTCTGGACAGAAAAATCAATAATTAGATCAACATTCCAAGCAAATGGAAAAGTATGTTTCATCTCTAAGTAGACCTTGCATGGAACCGTACAGGCACATATGCCATTCCAAGCCTCCAAGCAGACTTTTCTATCTTTGGAAAAGTACAGACATCAATAATCTTGTTTGCAAAGAGAAAACAGAGCAGACTCTTGGTCAAGTGCCAGATATGAATTTCCTACAGTGTAGTGGAAATGTGTGGAGGAAAAAAAAAAGTCTAAGACTTTTTGATTTGGCTTAAAGATCAGGCTGAAGACAAGCTTGTTTACATGGAATAAGATTGTGATTAAAAAGACAATACGCTAGTGGCCTAGCACCACAGCAAGGCCACAAAGAGGAGACACAAGTGAGACCCATATGTGGAACAACCATCATCATCCTGAGAGTCTCCATTACTCCCCTTTGTAGTGACTTTCCCTGAAGTCTTTGGACTTCTGCAACAATCTCCTTTTCCCACTTCCTACCTGGCCTCTTAAATGTGGTAATCCCGGGATTTCTGGCCTGAGCAGTTTCTTATTTGTCTTGGAGATTTCTTTCTTTTGTTACTCAGTCATGCCTGACTCTTCATGACCTCATTTAGGGTTTTCTTGGCAAAGATACTAATGTGGTTTGCCATTTCCTTCTCCAGCACATTTTACTGATAAGGAAACTAAGGCAAACAGGGTTAAGTGACTTGCCCAGGGTCACACACAATTAGTGTCTGAGGCCAGATTTGAACTCAGGAAAATGAATCTTCCTGACTCCAGGCCTGGCGCTCTGTGCACTAACGCACCCTCTAGCTGCCATTAGTCCTTAATCCTTCTTTCCCCTAGGATCTTAGTCCCCTAACCATGAGGCTGTCATTGTTGCATCTGAACAGCAGAATTCAAACATCTCTCTCCCCTTGTCCTCCAGAGACAGCAGCTAGAAGGTTCTGCTAGCCTCTCCATATGAGGGATCTTCCTGGTTCTGCGGAAAACTGGCTATACTTCCAGGATCTTTTAAATCCTTGTGGGAAGCTAACAAATGACTCCAGATATGGGTGGATCTCAGGGTCTTCCTCTGGGTGAGCAAAGGACCAGCCAGTGCTCTACCCACTGCGCCATCTAGCTGCCCCTCTATTTTCTATTTCTTATATCACAATAATATCCCATGTATTCCCCACCTCTCCAAGAGAGGCTTTCCACATGATGAATACTATTTTTTGGAGGGAAAAAAAAAAGGCAGCATGCCTGATCAATACTTCGAAAAGTCCAAAAAGATATGCAATGTGTAACGCCTGTGGACCTCCCACTTCCATTAGGGGGCAGGTTGAGGCTGTCTTCTCATATGTCTTCATTTGAGTCCTGTTTGAACTTCATCACTTCATCATTTTCTTTTGATTTTTTTGGTATGTCATTCTTCTTTCCATTTATATTGTTGTAATTACTATGTATATTGTTTTCTTGGCTCTGCTTACCTTATTCTACATTAGTTCATAGAGATCTTTCCATACTTCTCTGTATTCAACACACACATAATTTCTTACAGCATAGTAATATTCCATTACATTCTTCTACCACAATTTGTTTAGCCATTCCCCAATTGATGGGCATCTACTTTGTTTTCAATTCTTAGCTATCATAAAAAGTACTGCTAAATATTTTGGAGCACATGAGGACTTTTTTCTTATCTTTACAATGTTGTTGTAGAAATTTTTCTCTTTGTTCTCTTTTTTTAATTTTTTTTATTTTTAGGCAATTGGGGTTAAGTGACTTGCCCAGGGTCACACAGCTAGTAAGTGTCAAGTGTTTGGTCTGAGGCCTAATTTGAACTCAGTTCCTCCTGACTCCAGGGCCGGTGCTCTATACCCTGAGCCACCTAGCTGCCCTGGGACTTTTTTCTTATCCATTGCTTCCTTGGGGTATAAACTCCGCAATGGAGTTCCTGGTTCAAAGGGTATGGACAGTTTAGTCACTTTATTTGCATTATCCCAAATTGATTTCCCAAATGATTGCAGCATTTTACAGTTCTACAAATAATGTTAGTGCACCTATCTTTCTACAACCCCACCAACATTAAATGTTACCTTTTTTTTTTGGTCATTTTTGCCAATTTTCAGAATGTGAGGTGAAACCTCAGGGTTGTTTTATTTGCATGTCTCTTATTATTAGTGATTTGGAGCTTTTCTTTCATGTGGTTGTGAATACTATGTAGTTCTTTTAAGAACTATTTGTTCACATCCTTTAACCATTTATGTATTGGGGAATGGCTATTAATTAGTTACATACCTTGAATACCAAACTCCTATCAGAGAATTTTGATACAAAGATTTTTCCCATTTGACCACTTCCCTTCTAATTCTAGGTGTATTATTGTTGCCTTTTCAGCTTCAAGTTCTTTTTTCAGTTGCAGACACAGTAATATGCTCCCTTCCCCTGACCCCAATTTCCTCTTCTTGTCCAATATTCCCTTTTCCTCTCCTCCCCTTCAACTAGTCCTCTTCCTTAGTTTGGGGGAAAGGGTGTTGTAAATTTTTAAAATTTATTTTAAACTTAAATACAAAATGAGAAAAGAAAAAAAAAACCAATGCCATGTACACAGCAGAACATAGGAGAGGACTCAATATAAAACAATGAATTTCCATTTCAAGAAAATCTATATAATAAATACTACATATAGTGTAGAATGAAGTGTCAGATTTGTAGTCAAAAAGGGTTAGGAACTTTGAAGTCACCAACATAGATACTGAAATCTCTGAGGATGATGTTGAGAGATAGGATAAAGTTTATGCTAAATTCATAAGGAAAGGTGCCCACAGGGCAGCATGGCTGATGTGTAGAGAGTAGTAGAGATGGACTTTAAATAAAGACAAAAAGAAGGATATTGGCTTGAACCCCAAGATGATACACGTTGTGATTACCAAATTCAGCTAAGGCTCAGAGCAAATAAGCTCCAGAACAAAACAATATTTATCAGTAAAAGCCTGATATAAATGAATCTAAAATGTACTTATTAGCATTGGCCTATACCAATATATGGTACAAATGGGTCATGTTATATTCGAAATGGGTACATACATAAACAACTCTCAATGATAATCTAGACTTTTAGAAACAGAAAGAAAAACTAAAAGATTACTTCTAGCCTTTAGTATAAGCCTAAACAAGTTTTCAGAAATACACAGACAAGATACTAACTGAAGCCATAAATGATCAAAGGCAAATGGTTATATAAGCAGGATATAGGATATCAGCCAGATTCATATTTTTAATGGGCAGTAAAAAATGCAAAAGTGAATGAAAAATAACTAAAAATGGCAAAGAACTCCCTCCAAAAGTCAAATTACTAGAAGATAGCACAGAAGCAAAGCAAAGTTTTGTTTTTAGATAGAATACCTTCAATGTTTGTTTATATATTTATTGAGCAAATTGGTTTGAAACTATGTGATTGCGCACATAGAAATGAGCACATATGTTTATTGATCTTAAGTCAAATATTATTCTTTTACTAAAAATTTAATTGTGTCTTTCTCTGAAGAACTCAAAAAATTTTTACAAATACTACCTCACAGTCCTCATAATGCTGGTGAGGTAAGATGTCACAAGACCCTAATGCAGCTTGTTTGTACTATTCAGATCAGGAATCAGATATAAAAATGTCAAATAACTGTTTTATATTCAAAGGCGCATCTCTATATGGAATTCAGTTTCTTGACTCCCTCAACTTCATACTAAGTGCTCTTCCTTCAATAGCAAATTATATAAATATTAACACAATTTTCCAGATTCCCTTTTGTTGTTTTTGTTCCATCATTTAGTTGTGTCCAACTCTTCGTGACCCTGTGGACTATAGCATGCCAGGCCTTCTATCCTCCACTATCTCCTGAAGTCTGTCTGTACCTAAAATTGATCTTATCTAACATGGTAATTTATTGGTTTAAAAAATTATAACCTGAAAAACTGATATCCAGCGATGAAAGTTTCTGAGGCCTGAAAAACTTTGCCATAGGGGAAAAAAAGTACTTAGCTCTATTAATGTTAGTTCAGTTATTATTACTTCATCCTCTTTCACAAATATGTCTTATTGCATAAATCCTTTAACTTCAAGGCTGCAGTGCAATCTCTTCTATACAAGCACTTTTTCACTTGCCTTTTCACCAAAGATTAGAATTAGGTGAAAATCTGACTTCCACTTCTTATAATGACAGTATAAAACACTCCCTAAGCTACAAGGACTTGGGAGTACCTATTTTGCTTGAGCCACTGAGTTACATAATATCTCCAAATCGATCATTAAGAGGCAGCGATACAATAGAAAGAATGGTGGATTTGAGTCTGAAGACCTGAGTACAGATCTGAGTTCTGCTCCTCCCTGTATGATTCCTTTCTGCGCTCATTTCCTCATGTATAAAAGAAGGAAGTTAGACTAGATGATTTCTGAGGACCCCTCCAGAGCTAAACCTGTAATCCTATGAAGTAAAAGGCAATAAATTCCTTACAAACTCTATCCAAAGAAACGAACAAAGGCAAAATTTCATCCTGTGAAATTCTGGGCTAAAATTAACAAAATAGAACTTTTCATTCTTAACTTTTTACATCAAATAGTTCAGTGAAAAAGCCAAGATTAAAAACTGCTTCAGTAGCTAATAGTTAATGTGTTCCATTGGAAGGATTGGCTATATGCCATAGTTACACAGAGCAGCATTTTAAAGTTGTTCCATGCTCCTTTAGCCAACCCAGGGTCCTATTATGTAGCCTAATTGAATAATTATGTTTCTATTTTCTTCCTAAATCATTTTATGTATTTGGTTTCAGTATGTTAACAAATACACACTAAATGAAATGCCATACTAAAAATATTTTAAAGCACATATTTCATCACAATATTAAATTGTAGAAAAATACATTGTTCTCATAAAGTTTGGTCAAATTATTATTTTAAAATTAGGAAGGCTCAGTGCAACATAGGTGCAAAACTTCTCATGACACAGTAAGAGGCACAAAATCTTATTTTCTTAAATGGTGTTACAAACCACTTTCAATTCTAATTTCATCTGTTTCTTCAACCTGATTTTCTTCAAAAAAACCTCATGCTTGATGGCAAGGAATGTGATTTTTGAAGTGTTCTTGTGGAAGTCTCTTCTATTTTGTGGTCAGAGACTGAACAAATACAATTCCTAGAGTTAAGAATGTGGAAATTTGAACATACAGGATCAAACAAACTAGGAGGATCTGAAGTTTGGGGTGAGTGGTTTTCAGATGGAGAATCTTCCTTCACAGGTTCATGGTCTTTATTCTTTACAGCACCTTTTTCTTCCAGTTCCCGAGCAAGCATGTAACTAACTTTTCTCTGATGAGCTAAAGCTTCTTCTTTATCATTTAACTGTATGTATAGTAAATTAAAAAAAAAGCACAATTAAGGCAATAAATATCAAGACTGACTTTGACACTTTGGAACAGCTGTAATTTCATCATTCTCTTCCCATTGACTCCTTAACAACTACCACGAATGAAAAATTCAACACTCAGTGGTCAACCTCCTAAGGACGTGTCAGGCAGTCAATCAACTAGCTTTTAAGTGTCTACAATGTGCCAGGCACTGCGCTAAACAATGGGAATAGGAAGAAAGCAAAAAAACAGTTCCCGTTCTCAAAGAGCTCACTATTTAATGGATATGGGTTTCTATACACATAGCTAGCCTTGTCATTAAATGGATAAATGCACAGTCTACTGCTTAGCTTGTACTCAAAGCCTTCGTAGATCTGCTAGAGTTCGCTGGGATGGCCATGGAATGGCCTTCTGGATCATCTTTATGCCTTAATAAAACATTAGAACAGTCCTTCGGTACAGAGATGTCAAACATGGGGCCACCAACCATATATGACCTGCAATATTCCCAAAGATGTCCCAAATAGAATAAAATGTAATTGGGAAATATTTAATAAAATAAATAAAAATACAATAAAACATAGATAACATTACATTTTAAAACTAAGTCAACATGTGGCCCACATGAATCACTATGTATGGATTTGTGGCCTTGTTTCTATTAGAGTTTGACAGGACTGCTTTGGTGGATAGTACACAAATACATTCCAATTTATGTTATTTTATAATAAGAGGTTATTGTGCCATACTACTCAGTCATTAATTCTCCAATGTCAAACTTTTAGTAAGTAGCCATGGCATACAAACTTTGTAAGCAGTTAAAAATAAGTGGAAAGCAAAGCTCTTCATTCAGAGTCTCATAGAATGAAACTGGAAAGATAGAACATGTATGCATGCATCCATTCATACTATGACTTACAGACCAACATGCTATATGCATTTATGCCTTTGATATGGTCAGAACATATGTTTCAAGACAGCACGGAATAAAGGGAATAATCAGAACTGGGTGGCATGCATCAAGGAAGACTTTGAAGAAACACTGAGCCTAGTTTTGAAGAGGACGATAAATACAAACAGGGCAGATTATGAGTAGAGTGCTCCAGGTTTTTAGGAAAGGATTTGAATTGATGGACAATCAGAGGTGGGAAAGAAGTGTTCCATGGGTTGAATGGTATTATAGACATGAAAGAGATAAGTAAGTTGCATTAAGGAGTAAGACAACAAGCAGATTAAGGTTGGCTGGAATAGAAGATCCACATGGGGAAGTTATAAGAAATGAGACTGAACAGGTCCTTAGCCTCCGAAAAGAAGAAACTAAAGATACTGACCAAATCTATCAGGATCCTAAAGATTTCCTGAGGATTATCCAGCTCTTCTATTTTCTTAGAATTGGCTTCAAGTATATCTATTAGCTTCTGTCCAAAGTTCTTCTTTTGTAACACAAATCCTAAAATTAAATAAGTTAAGTCTAAGTGAAATACAATACTGTGAAATAATACTAGCTCATATTTATGTATATACACGGCCAACTTAAGAATTTACCAAGTACCTAGAATTGAGCAGTGTTTTTCATCTTACAAAGACTTTTAAGTCATACTTGCAATGACCCCATAAGGTGAATCTGAGAGAGGGGACAGATATTATGCCCTTAAAAAGATTCATGATACAAAATGCTATCCATATCCAGAGAAAGAACTATGGAGTCTGAAAACAGATTGAAATGTAATATTTTCTCTTTTTTTAAATTTTTTCTTTCTCGTGGTTTTTCCCTTTTGTTCTGATTCTTCTTTCACAACATGACTAACGTGAAAATACATTTAATATGATTGTATGTATTTAGCCTATATCAGATTGTATGCCGGCTTGGAGAAAGAGGAGGGAAGGGAGGGGGAAAAATTAGAACTCAAAATCTTATAAAAGTGAATGTTGAAAACTAAAAATTAATTTAAAAAAATAAAGTGCATAGTCAATTAAAAAAATAAACAGCAGATGAGGGGACTGAGGCTCAGAGAGCTTGTGACATGTCCAAGCGCAAAAAGTTATTAAGTGGCAGGGTCAGGTCTCCTAATTCCTGAGCAAGCATTCTCTCCCCTATGCAGATTGCTTCCTAAACATCAGAATGTCTGTCCCACCACAGCAAAATCTTTCCTCATTAAAAAAAACTATTCACCATATGTATTCTAGTAAGAAGAGGGTATGAAACACCTGTATTAGAGGATGTAGCTTCATAACTCATTTAGTAGAAATGAGTCAGTTTGGTAATTTGATACTTAATATTTTGATGCTTTAAAAAGTGCTTTCTTCTGGGCAAGTCGCTTAACCCCAATTGCCTCATAAAACAAAAACAAAAAAAGTGCTTTCTTTTAAAATAAAATGAAATTTTAAGTTTAACAACATCAATGAATACAAATAAAATAAGGAATAAAATACCATATAAAAGCAGAAAAATACTATTTTCATTCTGATTTTAAAAATTAACTTTAACTAAATAATAACAAAACTTACGTATTTTGTCTCCTTCCAATTTTGTTTTGTCTACAGATTTACAAAGTTCGGTTGGTGTAAAAGTTGCAAAAAAACAAAAACAAAAACTGAACCACATATTAACTACAACCATATAAAAAAGTTAGAAAATGAGAATGAATGAAAAATCCCAATGAGGACATGGAAGGAGTAACAGAAAAACTGTTATGATACTTAATGCATGACTAATGGGAAAATATGCTTAACATGAATGTATACGTAGAGCCTATATCAGATTGTATGCCATCTTGGGGGAGGGGAGGAAGAAGTGGAAGGGGGAGAAAATTTATAACTCAAAATCTTATGGAAGTGAATGTTGAAAACTAAAAACAAATTAATTAATCATCCAAAAAAAAAGAAATTAAAGTTACTAAATGAGCTCAGTTGGTTGTATTGATGTTAAGCTATTAATAAAACATTGTAGTGGCCCCGTCTTCTCGGCCAACCACACAGCATGCATTTGGATACTGGGTCCCAAAAGGGTGGTTACCCTGGACTCAAGGTACTCTGTGGATCCATACTACTAAAACTATAGCACACAAACCCCCACTGGTATGCTTGATTGCCTTTAACTAATAGAGACAACTAGATCAAAGCATTTACTGAGATAGCATTGTAAGAACAATAGTTACAGTACATTACCTGCCTCACCAAAGCCTGGTCACACTCTTCTACAACTAAGCCCAGAATCAGTGGAAAGAACAGACAAACACACAGAGCACACTAGTAGAGAAATACACATGAAGAGAGTATAAGCACCAAGCAGCTCACACCTCTGACAGTTCAGAGGCTCCAGAATCTGTTCCTTAGTCATATCTTCAATCTACTCCTCTTGGGTGGAGCATCTCTACTAAACAGGCTGCTCAGCTAGGATCCCTGGACTTCTTACTCACTACAGTTCAGTTCTTAATAGTCAGGATTGGCTCCCTCACACAGGTCTCACATGTCATATTAATTCTGGGCCTGTTCCTGGCTGGATGCAGGGTCTTTGATTGGCCAAGCAGCTCTACTGCAAGATGCTAGGGCCAGTTGGGAGGAAGGAGAGAAAAACCTCCTTTCATCCCTTTTCCCATAGCTAGCTTTCCAAATAGAGAATTTTTTCATACCTTATAGATATTACGAGCTCTTCTTTTTATTTCAACTAAGACTTTAACACCTCATTGTCTACCTTACCTACCCCTTATGTTCTGTGTCTCCTACTCCACATTACCACTTCCAGGTTCTCCCCCCATCACCATCACTCAGTGACCTCTCCTCCTTTGAGGTCTATACAATCCAAATCTACCAGTCAATCAAAATCATGGTAGCTCTTTTTTTTACAGACCTCTATGACACTCCCTTTCCTTCCTCAATGAACTCAGTAACTGGCTCTCATAGTCTTTCTTTCCTCTCTAAATTCTGTCTACACACACACACACACACACACACACACACACACACACACACAAGTACTGCCTTCAAACATTCTAACTTCCTAATTCTTGTGACTTTCCCATGACTTCCACCCTACCTTAGCCTCATACAAGATGGTCATACACTTGATCTTGTCATCAACCACAAATGCACCACACCTCCAGGTTCAAGAACTCTGAAATTCCCTTATCTGATCACCATCTATTGGTTTTCCATCTCTCCCTCTGCATCCCTATACCAAATCTTGCTCTCCATCCACACCATGACCTCTAATCCCTTGACCTTGCAGTTCTCTCTACCAGGCCATCTCCCCTCTTTTCCCTATCTTGACCCCTTCTTGAACCAGTTCAACTCTACACTGTCCTTGGCTTTCCTAGCTCCAAAACCAGGTTCCCCTTTCCACCAAATTAAACTCTTGACAACTGATAAGTAGAACAAACATCACCTTTCAGTCTTCATGTTTCATAATTTGCACATTTCTAAATCAATCAAAAGCTGAAATTGTGTGCAAGGTTATATGATTACTTCCAAATTCTGTGACTTTTAGCTTTATTAATAACTTCAAGCTTACTTATTTTTCCTCACCAAGGAAAAGGGACTTGCACTACCTACCCCATAGGGTTGCAAGGAAGGCACTTTGTAAACTGTTAAGTGCCAAAGAGAAAAAAATTTGGGGGGGGGATGGATAAAACAAATTGTATTGATGCACTCAAGCTATACCTTGGATTTGCTATACCAGGAGATTTTTCCTCTTGTTAATTCTTCCATAATTTTTTTTCTTACTAAAGACGACTTAACTATTAGAACAATAGCAAATGGATGCAAATATATATTAGTCAGAGCCTAGTCTATCGAATTTTGACCAATGAGTATTTAGCTAAAATTCTTCTGTGGATTTTCAGTAACAAGAGCAGCCAAAATTGCTAAAGAAGGGATTCCTACTCAGAGATGAGCTCTACTCAATGAATCATACAACACGAATCTTACATTTGGATAGGACCCAGAGCACTATCTGGTTCAACCCATACATGATGAGAACTCTTCAGCATAGCCAACAAGTAATTGGTCATTTAAACTTTGGGACCTCTGAGGTCTCTTTCATTTCTGGGATTCTGGAATTCTATAATTCTATATTTAATCCTACTTCTTAAATGCCAACTAAATTTCAGGGCTCTTTTAAAAAATATAAATGTTATCATTAAATTATGTTTCACAAACAAAAATTACATTTAGATAAAAATAATGAACAAATTAAAATTACATTTAATAAACATGAAATAACAAATAAAGAACATAAGATGAACCTCACATTATCAACATATTTTAGGAAGGGAAATCTTAATTTTAAAAGACAGTGCCAAAGTATCAGAGATACCTTAGAGGTCAACTAAGTCAATCCCTTCATTTTATAGACAGGAAAATGAGGCAGAGAGGTTAAATGAAAGCTATTATTCTACTCCTTCAGAGTCAAACACAATACAGTATTGTAACAGAGAATGAAGCCCTGACAATTTTTATTACCCAGTTGGAAGAACTGACCAAAGGAAACATCTTGAAGGGGTTAAGCAAAACATATTGTTGTTGAAAACATCACTTCAACTTGGTTTTCATTGCCACTATCCAAATTATTAGTTTTTCCTGATAGTTTCCCTTTAATAATCCTATAAGCTTTTAAATAGCATATAATTTTCTTTTAAATGTGTTCGTTCCTATGAACATGAAAGAACCAGGAGAGAATCTGTTGGGAATTTGTGACATGACCTCATGATTCTCAAAGTCTCACTTGCAGCTGTGTCCTTCAATAGCCCTATTGTTGGGTTTTTCCATGGATGGTTTTGTCAACCAGACAACTATGAGTGAGACATTATATGCTGTAGCCTTATTATAACAGAGTACAACTAAAATCGACATACTTAGTGTTCTATTAGAATTACCCAGACCCCTAAAATTGAACAAGGTTTTTCTGATGTATAATTACCATCATTCTTAAGATGTTTCCAGTTTAGCCATTTGGCTGGTTTTTTACAAATTTTATTCATTTGTGTCAATCTCAGAGTCTGCTCATTTCTTCTCATTAATTGTTGCTCAAATGCAATCCTGAATGCATCTGCCATTATATAAGCTTCTTCTTTACTCTTCCTTAAGATTTCTAACTGTAACAGAAAGAAAAGTTTTAGTAAATATCCTGCACAAAGGTTAATCTGGGCTTGCTTGCTGGTAGTAATTAGTATAGGACTCAAATATTTTGCCAGTAGAAAGGGGTGATGGGGTGGAAATAAAATGCTATTTCTATACTTTTTTTTTACTTCTTTCTAAAAAAGCAGCACATTTTACTAAGGAAAGGTTCAAACACTTATTTGTGGTTTCCTTGGCATATTTTTTGCTTACTGCTTTTCTCTGCTACTTTTTAGAGACTCTGCTGAATACTTTAAGTGCTTAATGAGTCACTAGATGTGACCTCTCAGCATGGCCTGGAATTCCATTACAACCTTAGAATAAGATATGCAGAAGCAAGAGCTCAAAAATTTCAGCATCTGAGCCTTCAGGGTTTACAATCCCTATATTATTTTGACTATACTTATTACTGAAAATCAGCAAAAGAGACATATGTAACCCAGAGTCAAAGTCCCTGTCTCTGGCCCAAGAGAGATAGGGCTCCCAGAGAGTGAAGTGTTTGATTAATAAGAAAAGGAGACTTTTCTTTCCATTCTATCCCCAACCTGCATGCTGAACCCTCTGCAGATTTGGACACTCCTGCAGAAAATTAAGTCAGATCCATTTGGAAGAGACCTAATTTTCTCTATGAGCGTCTATGACCTCAGAGGGTATAGCAGATAGATTAGGAGAGAAGGAACCGGTGGGAGAGAGAGGGAGGGAGGAGGAATTGAAGATCCACTGGCCTCACAGGGGCAAATATTACAAAATAAAAAGTTGCTGTAAAATACATAGTGATAAAATATTGGCACAAGGTAGAACTTCAAAGTGACTGGTGTTATGCATTTTTGTTTAACTTTGAGCTCTTTAGCAAAGCCAGGGAATTTATTGTTGTTCCGTAGTTCAGTCATGTCTGACTCTTCATGACCCCATGGACCACAGCACACCAGGTCCCTCTATCTCCCACCGTCTTTCAAAGTCTTTCCAAGTTCATGTTCATTGTTTCCATGACACTATCCATCTCATCCTCTGCTGTCTCCTTTTCCTTCTGCCTTCAACCTTTCTCACCCTCTGAGTCTTTTCCAATGAGTTCTGTCTTCTCATTATGTGGCCAAAGTATTTAAGCTTCAGCTTAAACCAGGGAATAGTTTGAGACAAATCAAAACAAATGGACAAATACAGAATTTAATCAATAACAGGAGGTGGGGGGAAATATAAGAATGCCAGAAACTGTGCTAAGCCCTTTTTACAAATATTATCTCATTTGACCCTCACAACAACAGCGAGATGTAGGTGCTGTTATTATCCCCATTTTACATGTGAGAAAACTAAGGCAAAGGTTAAGCAGCTTGTCCAAGATTACACAGCTAGTAAGTATCTTGAGGCTGGCTTTGAATTTGGGCCTTCCTGACCCCAAGCAGAGTGCTGAATAGTAAATTGATTATTGAAATAATATGATCTATCTTCCCTGGGGGCTAAGAAGGAAATAAGCATTTATTGAGCACCTACTATGTGCCAGGCACTGTGCTAAGTGCTTATGAATATTACCTCATTTGATCCCTCACAACAACCCTGTGAGGTAGGTGCTATTATTAGTCTCATTTTACAGCTGAGGAAACTGAGGCAGATAGTGGTTAAGTGACTCCCCTAGGCTAACAGTTAGGAAGGGTTTGATAGCCAATGACAGGTTCATAATAAATATTGTGACTGTTGTAGTGAAGTCAGATTTCTAGCACAGCCTTGATCTAAAAAAATGTAGATGGTCAGGGATTATTTCCAAGTTATTTGAAAGCTTGTGAGATAAATTGATTAATAAGTACAATTTTAGCCCTGTGGAACACTTTGTGCTGTGATAGATCATTGATTTTATCTGTGTGTGTGTGTATTCCTTCTACCAATGGCTATGAAAAAGCTCTCCAAACCATCTCTTCCTGTTTAATTCTTGTCCATATCCTCCCATAAATCCTCCACTGAGGCTCTAGTCAACAGGCTAAAGGCCTTCCTCTCACAGTTAGGACTGGGGGATTCTCAGGCTGTCCATTGTCTCTTATTCTTGCCATATTAACAGCCCACATATGTTGGTCATAAACAACTTTCATGATGTCATTTTGTCTCATGCATCTAGTTAGTAATATTAACAGGCATTTAAATATAACTTTAAAGTTTGCAAAGGGATTTATTTACTTGCTTATCTCATTTGAGCTGCAAATCAGAGATTATGCAGATTTTACAGATGAGAAAACCAAGGTTTAGAGAGGTTGAGTGAGTTGTCCATGGTCACACAACCAGTTGCCCCCCTCCAAAAAAAAATGTGCTTGGAGTCAGGCAACACCTGGGTTTTTATCCCACCTCTGATATATATATATAGTAAGTACCTGAACATAAGGAAGTCACTTTATGTTTCAGGGGCAACTAGGTGGTACCTTAGTGCAGAGAGCTCATGGCTTGGATTCAGAAAGAACTGAGTTCAAATGCATCAAGATATTTACTAGCTATGTGGCCACCGAGCTACTCATTTAACCTCTGTTTGCCTTAGTTTCCCCATCTGTAAAATGAAGATAACAATAGCACACATCTCAGGGTTGTTACGAGGATCAAAAGTTAACAAATATAAAGTACTTTGCAAAACCTTAAAAGCACTATTATAACTGCTAGGTATTATTATTGTACCAAAAGCACCATTATAAATGCCAGCTATTATTATTATATGACAAGCACCATTATAAATGCTAGGTATTATTATTATATTAAAAGCATCATTATAAGTGCTAAGTTTTCTCATTTATAAAATGAGAATAATAATACCAGCAAGTGCCTATTTCAAAGGATTGTTTATGAAGAATCACATGAGACAACACAGGGCAAGCCCTTTGTAAGCCATAAAAAACCACATGTGTGTTAGCCATAATTTTTATTATCGCTATTGCATATCATAAGTGCTAGAACACTGCAGCCTGCACCTGCCCACTATGTGTCATCCCATGGCCCTTTGGGTTGTTTCTAATTTTAAATCTTTTGAGATCTTGGTGTTCTCTGACTCACCAGCCAGTAGCATCACTGGGAAAGTTGTATTTGGGATTAACAAGATAGCCATTCCTAACAGCCAGTACCAAATGCTTTACAATTATTATCCCATTTGATCCTCAGAACAAACCTTGGAGGTAAGTAGTGTTATTATTCCCATTTTACAGATGAGCATACTAAAGTAAACAGAGGTGAAGTGACTTACTCGCCATCACATAGCTAATAAGTGTCTGAGGCCAGATTTGAACTCAGGTCTTTCTGACTCCAGCACTGGTACACTATCTACATATTTAATATATATATATATTTAATTATATATATAATATATGCATCATATAATATATATTATGTATATATATATATATACATACATATACATATAAAACAATATTATATACACACATCTACTTCCATATCCCTGCTTTCTGGCTTAATATCTGTATTTAGCAGATTTTTGAACAAAGTTATCTAGCAAGTTCATCTTTATAACATACATTCAATACATAGCTCTAAAATGTGTCTTCTACAGAAAATAATTTATCCAAGGTCTTGGTTGTTGTTCAATCATTTTAGCCATATTTGACTCTTTGTGACCTCATTTGGGGCTTTCTTGGCAAAGATAGTGGAGTAGTTTGCCATTTTCTTCTCCAGTTCATTTTACAGATGAGGAAACTGAGGCAAACAGGGTCAAATGACTTGCCCAAGGTCACATGGCTACTAAGTGTCTGTGGCAGGATTTGAATTCAGGTCTTTCCTGACTTCAGGCCTAGTGCTGTATCCACTGTGCTACCTAGCTGCCTCAGTGAAATTATAGAATTTTGGTTTGTTTGGGTTTTTTTAATGCTAATGAAACAACCAATTTGTAAGTCAGTTATACTGCTGAAAACCAAGTAAATCTCACCAGTTAACATTTGTCACCATGAAATAATCATTACAGATGTGACTTTTCCATTAATTCCACTGTTTCAAAAATGGAGAAATAAAGCATAGCAATAGTTATGGGCATTTGGCCAAACTAAATGTTACCTCTTGCTTCAGCTGTAGCAGCTGTTTTCTAGCAGTCACAGCCTTCCTAGCACAGGAACAAGGTTGTCCTCCGGGATGGTGACAGATGCAAGCACCAAGTACTGCCAGCTGTGAATTCAAAAGCGCCCAGTAACTAAATGTCAGACGTAGCACATCTTTTGGATATTTAAAGACACTGAAAAGGAAGAGACATAAACTATGTATACACAAGATAGGGAGAATTAACAATATTCACTTGGAACATAATAAAACCAAATCTATCTTCCCTCTTTTCAGTATCAATGTTTTTAAATACTGACGTCAACTTCCTGTCCTTATATGTCTTCAGAACAAATGCGGTCTAATTGTGTTTTCAACTTTTTATTTTCTACCTATTAATTTCTACTTTGTACAATAAACTTAGTTGCTGTATTGGTTTTTCTCTGCTACTCAGACTATAGCCGTTTTGCCTTGACTACTATCTGGCATATGTACTAAGTGACTACCAACTAATTTTGAATATTTTACCTGTGCAAAATATAACTGACTACAAAATCACAACCACATAATACATTTTAAATATGAATAGAAAAGATTTTTTGTATTAGTCATTGTGCTGAAATTATCCATGTCCTTTCTAACAAGAGATAATTAAGAGATAACTATATTTCATTCTCTTTCTCATCAGATCCCTACCACCAATTGTGTAGGGCCCCGGGGATTTGACCTAGTTACCCACTGAAGAGCCCTCACTCTGTACAAGGATTATTTAAGACATCACTCTTTTAGTCTTCTCTTAGATCTAGTTTCTTTCATTTTTCTTACTGCTATTTTTTCAACCATTCAAATCATGCCATCATTCTCTTCTAAGTTCTACATGTCCTTCATATATTGAGATGGCATAATAGAGAACTGTTATATGGTTATACATATGATTTTTGTGTGTGTCTATATGTATATGTACATGGACACACCCATATATTGTTGTTGTTTGTCCTTTTTTGAAGAGGACCAATGACATCATAGGGTGTATGAAACATGTAAAGCAGATACACCGTGATAATTGTCTCAAGACAAACATATATGCATTTTATACATACATATATGTGTGTGTTGTATGTATGTATATGTGTGTGGAGAGAAAAAGGGAGAGACAAAGACAAAGAGACAGAGAGATTACATAGATTAGATAGACAGACAGACATCCCCAAATCCCATTATCCTTTTAGCTTTTTTAACACCACAAAACACACTCAATTTTTTTGTTAAGAATTCACAGTATATATGGAAATATGTTTAATATGATTGTACATGCATAACCTTATTAGATTGCTTGCCCTCTTGGGGAGGGGGGAAGGAAAGGAAGGAGGAAGAAAAAAATTTGGAACTGAAAATCTTATAAAAGTGAATGCTGAAAACTATCTTTACATGTAACTGAAAAAAATAAAATATTATTAAGTAGAAAAACAAAAAAAATGAAAACAATTATTAAAGAAAAGAACTCACATCATACTATATATAGTAATAACTTTTTGTACTGGAATTTGCAGGTAGGCCTGACACTTCAAATCGTGGTGCTGTAACAACCAGAAGAAGACTGCAACACAGCAACAGAATCACTGAGGCAGGAAATGTTTGCCCAACATAAACAAGGTTGCTCTCTCACCCCAGGTATGAAGAGACTAAAGTCAAGTCAAGAAGCGTGTATTAAGTGCTTAATATGTGCCAGAAACGATATTACATGCTGGGAATACAAAGAAAGGCAAAAACAGTCTCTGTTTTCGAAGGAGCTCACAATCTGAGGATACAACATGCAAACAACTATGGCCCAGTGAGACAAAAACAGGTGATGTGGGAGGCCAGGGACTGCCACTGCACTTTACTTATTTTAATGTTTATTTAACATTTTATTTTTCCCCAATTACATGTAAAAACAATTGACATTTTTTTAAATTTTGAATTCCAAATTCCCTCCCTCCTTTCTCCCTTTCCCCCTCATTGAGAAGGCAAGCAATTTGATACAGGTTATATATGTGCAATCATGCAAAACCTATTTCCATGTTAGCCACTGCACTTTAAATATAAAGGAAATTTAAAAAAAAAAAGAGGAACAGTTTTTCCTCTCTCTCCCCCATATCCCATGCTGTCCAAAATTCTTATACACTTACTTCCAGACCTGTAACCTCTGTGGAGCCACCTTTAAGACACATGCTTTCCTGAACAAGCTTCTGCTGTTTCACATCAAGCATTGCAACAAACTCCAGGCACTGCTGATTCAAAGCTAGGGAAGAGAACAAGTAAGACAAATGAAATTACCATACCAAGACTATACCACATGCCATGCTCGTTTCTTCACATGGATACTCTACGGCATTATTCAAGTCAACAAACCTTTATCGAATAATTACTGTATTGTTGTGTTGTTCTTGCTGTGAAAGATTTAAAAAAAGAAGTTCATCAAAACAAGATCTCAAGTTGTCCACAGGGAATTTGCAGTCAATGAGCAAGCCACACCAAGCTAAAATGCAATTTAAGTACTAGAAGAGAGGAAAAAAGAATCCTATGAAAGTGAAGAAGAGGAAGAGATAACTTCTGGCTAGGAGAATCATGTGTGGTTGTGGTTTATCCTTTGTTCTCGAAGAGGACCATGACATCAGGGAGATGATGACATGATTTGCAATTGACTTTGATTTGAGTGAAGGAGAGCTGTGCAAGGTCACCAGCCTCGCTTTCTCCTCCAGAGTCATCTGGGTCCAGTGACCAGATATAGATCAGGATGACTGGAGATGGCCCAGGATGCAATGGGAGACCATAATCTCCAAAAACTGAAATTAAGGATCACCCAAAGTGCAAAACAGAGAGGAGTATGGTGGACATGAGCAGGCTGCAATGCAGTGCCAACAGGCAATTACAAAATAGAAAAGAAGAAAGAGTAAAGAGTGTCATCAAAGAACTGTATGGGTGGAAAATAATAAGGGCTAGTCATTTGGTGAGAACAAGGAATAAACACTGGATGGTCCATGTGCTCCACTGCTGTCCTCATAATGTCAAGAGAAATTGAGGAAATATTCCCACCACGTCAGGTGCCTCCTCTACAAATTTGTGGTAGAGATGATATGGATGAGAATTATACAGGAATTGATAGAGTAATAGCAATGTTGTTTTAAGGACAACTTTGAGCAAATAAGTCATTTTGACTATTATAAATAACCAAATTAACTACAAAGGACATATGAAGGAAGATGCTATCTGCATCCTGAGAAAGAACTAATAAATGCTTTTATATAAATATAACATATTTGTGTCTAATGGTAGCCATCTCTAGGGTGGTGGAGGGGAGAAGGGGAGAAAAAAGGGAAAAAAGAAATTTACATGATAACTATTATATATTTAAAAGGAATAGCAAGTTATAGATAATAGATGTGCAGTTTCATTTGCAATCATCTTTTTTATTATACTATATTATGGAAATGGTTGTTTTATTCCATAAATTCCATAAATATAAAATTAAAATATTTCATAAATTCCATAAATTAAAAATAAAATAAATTTTCAAAAATTTTAAGCCAAAAAAAAAAAGGAAGCATACAGGAAGACCAGGAATAGAAGGGTTGCAACTTGCATCACATGGAATAAGATCACAGATCCAGTTGAGCATTTTAAATAGACAAAATCTCCACATTTTCTATGAATTTCTGCCTAGGAATGCCTGCTTATCTATCTATCTATCTATCTATCTATCTATCTATCTATCTATCTATCTATCTATGTATTCACGTCTCTTCTATCTGTACTTTCTATCTATGACTGTAATGTCAAATTCAAATAAGAACAGATCCCTGCAGGCCACATTTTAACCACAAATTAACATTATCTATGTTGTACTGTATTTTTATTTATTTTGTTAAATATCTCCCAATTTAGATTTTAATCTGATTCTGGCCACACTAGGGAGTTTTGCAGGCTGCTTGTGGGCCAAAATTTCAACATCTCTGGTCTAAGATGCATATCCTAATGGATGAGCCACATATCTTGATGGATGAGTTCTCTTGATACACACATGTGCATGTGTAAACACACACACACACACACACACACATCCCAAGGCCTATTGAGATGCAATGGCTGTGACTCAAGAGCTTAGTAAGTATTTGTTTAAATGACTGATCAATTGAAACATGTACCATTCAAAGAGAAAATTAACAAGTCTCTGTCACCTTGGAAAGGTTTCAAATATGGTCATATGAAGAGACAAAGTCTGTTTTTCTAAAACCAGCCTACTTCACTAGAGGAAGACTCAACACCAATAGGCTGGCCCCTTGGTGGGAAATTTTTTGGCCACAACAATCCAGAATACAAAGAAAAGTACAAAATGGTTCTCAGTCTTGTGCTGGCTCTCTACTGTTTATTGTAACGATAGTAGCAGGAAAAAAGAGGCAGAAGTACTAAAAATCTTGTTTTTAGACTCTCATAAAAAAGTTAGATTGGCTATTGGTATTTAAAATATGAGATCTGAGTTCCTTGACCAATGGCTAAATAGGGAACACATTACCAGAGGAACTGAATCATTTTAATCTTGACATTCTTTGCTATAAATGAAGCCAGATGATAAAAGGAAGTTGCTGCTAAATGAAAGGATGGTTCGCAGTTACTCCTTGGAGATGCCAATTGGGAAGCTGGCAGAGCTGCCTTTATCACGCATCCAAAGGCAACAAGAAACATTTCATGGGACATTTAGTGACCTCATATTGCAGTGCTTATGATAATTGTGTGCCAGAAGACAACTGTGAAAACTGGAGCTTATGTATCAAAATCTGTCACAAAGGAATAAGGACACAGAGAAATTCTATGAACTTGATAAGACCCTAAAAATTAATTAAAATACACTTCAACATGAGGTGATTGAATTCAAGGGGGAGAACAAGTAAGGACAGTGAAAAATATATTTAATAAGAATTGTTCATAAATAAGAAATGAGATGCCAAAGGCCCTCAGATGACACAAAATACTGATAATTTCTTTAAGAAAGGAATTGGGGAGGTATGAGACATGGTGAGCAACAAATAATGTAACAAAAAAATCAAACATTTTATTTTGAGGGATAGAAAATAGATAATTTCAAATGTGAGATTCATTCATTCTCAAATCAGTTATCAATGTACAGTCAGAGCATTAACTTGTCAAAGCAAAGATGAAGAAAATACAAAACTAAAAGGAAAATGAGGGAAAATATATGGTATGTAATTAAAAACAACTCCAGAAACACAAATTTAAATGTTAGTAATGCCAAAATGAGAAATGGATAGAGGAACAGATCTTAACAGGTCATTTCCTAAGGAAGTTTAACTGATGTAAATTAATTGTCATAACAAGAACAGAATCTGGAAAACGCTCTGGCCAGCAACACTTGATCTTTTTGCTAAGCATAGAAACATGGCAGCTAAGAACAACCCTGGTCTAGAACAGAACCTCTTCAGCAGACCTTGCAGAGAAGGATGGCAGAAGATTATAAGCAGAATTGCTTCATGAGGTGAGAAGCAGAGGAGGGAAAAACAAATTTACAAACAGCCTGGTAATTGACTCCAACTATGAAAAGTCATCTCAAAGTCAACAAAATAAACATGGAAAAGGTGTTTAAAATAATTTTAAGAGAGAGGCGGAGCCAAGATGGCGGAGTGAAAGCAGTGACTTGCTTGAGCTCTCCTCCAAACCCCTCCAAATACTCATAAAAAATGGCTCTAAACAAATTCTGAAGCAGCAGAACCCACAAAAAGACAAGAGTGAAACAAATTTCCAGCCCAGGACAACCTGGATGATTCATCAGAAAGGTGTATCGCACCGGGCTGGGAGCACAGCACAGAGCGGCGTGTGTGCGCAGGCCACAGCAAACCTGGAGCAGGCCTCAGAGGACTGAATCACAGGCAGCTATGGAGGTTTCCAGACTCCTCAATCCACCAATGCCAAAGACAACTTAGAAGGTCAGTGGGAAAAGTCTGTTTCTGCAGTGCTGAGACAGGAGGGCGGGGTTTCAGCTCCATTCCCCAAGAGCGTGGTCCTGAGGGGAGTGGGGCAGCTGCTTCCCGAGCTTCCAGCCCACAGACTGAGGGGGAATCCAGTGGCTGATCAGAGAGGGACTGCAGGGATCTCTTTGCCAGTGCTGAGGCAGGAATCTCTTGCTTTGCCCATGTTTGGATCTGGGTCACAGTTCTGGGCGGCGGTCCTGGGGTGAGGAGGAACGCTGGCGTGGTGGAACTTGTAGTGGCTGTGAAGAGGAACCCCTCCTCACAGTTACAGGACAGAAAGGAATACTTGTGGTCACAGGCCAGGAAAGGTCACAAGCTTCACCCCTTATCATACCACCTTGGAAGAAATGAAAATTTACAGGTCCCTACAAGTATCTCTGAAAAGAGCTGCACAAAACCCCTGAAGCTTGGGACAATACATTCTCCACGTTGGAAGCAGACTCTTACCTTAACAAAGAGTTTAAAACTCAAGTAATTGGCCAGGATCATGAGCAAGCAGTGCAAAAAGAGTCAGACCATATTATCTTACTTTGGTGACAAAGAAGATCAAAATATACAACCAGAAGAAGACAACAAAGTCAAAGCTCCTACATCCAAAGCCTCCAAGAAAAATATGAATCAGTCCCAGGCCTTGGAAGAGCTCAAAAGGGATCTTGAGAAGCAAGTAAGGGAAGTAGAGGAAAAACTGAGAGTGATGCAAGAAAATCACAAAAAACAAGTCAACAGCTTGCTAAAGGAGAACCAAAAAAATACTGAAGAAAATAACACCTTAAAAAACAGCCTAACCCAAATGGCAAAAGAGGTCTAAAAAGCCAATGAGGAGAAGAATGCCCTAAAAAGAAAAATTGCCAAATGGAAAAGGAAGTCCAAAAGCTTACTGAAGAAAATACTTCCTTAAAATTAGAATAGAATTGGAAGATAGTGACTTTATGAGAAATCACGACACAGTAGAACAAATCCAAAAGAATGAAAAATTAGAAAACAATGTGAAATATCTCATTGGAAAAACAACTGACCTGGAAAATAGATCCAGGAGAGAGAATTTAAAAATTATTGGACTATCTGAAAGCCATGATCAAAAAAAGAGCCTAGACATCATCTTTCAAGAAATTATCAAGGAAAACTGCCCTGATATATTAGAACCAGAGGGCAAAATAGAAATTGAAAGAATCCACAGATCTCCTCCTGAAAGAGATCCCCAAAGGAAAACTCCTAGGAATATTGTAGCCAAATTCCAGAGTTCCCAGGTCAAGGAAAAGATATTACAAATTGCCAGAAGGAAACAGTTCAAGTACTGTGGAAACACAATCAGGATAACACAAGATTTAGCAGCTTCTACATTAAAGGACCGCAGGGCATGGAATATAATATTCCTGAGGGCAAAGGAGATAGGATTACAACCAAGAATCACCTACCCAGCAAAACTGAGTATAATCCTTCAGGGGAAAAAATGGTCATTCAGTGAAATAGAGGACTTTCAAGCATTCTTGATGAAAACATCAGAGCTGAATAGAAAATTTGACTTTCAAATACAGGACTCCAGTGGAACATGAAGAGGTAAACAAGGAAGAGAAATCATAAGAGACTTATTAAGATTGAACTGTTTACATTCCTGCATGGAAAGATGATATTTATAATTCATGAGACCTTTGTCAGTATTAGGGTAGTTGGAGGAAAAAAATTATATGTATGTATGTGTAGATAGATAGATAGAGGGCACAGGGTGAGCTGAAGATTAAGGGGTCATATCTGGAAAATAAAATTAAGGGATGAGAGAGGATGATCCTGGGAGAAGAAGAAAGGGAGAGGTAGAATGGGGTAAACTATCTCACAAAAAAAAACAGAAAAGTGTCTTACAGTAGGTGTACAACCTATATTGAGTTGCTTGCCTTTTCAATGAGGGTGGGTGGGGAGGGAGGAAGAGAGAAAATTTAAAACCTAAAGTTTTAAAAACATATGTTTAAAAAAAATGTTTTCACATGCTACTGGGAAATAAGAAATATAGGAAATGGGGTACAGAAGTCTATCCTGCCCTACAGGAAAATAGAAGGGGAAGGGGATAAGAGAAGGGGAGAGAGATAGAAGAGAGGACAGACTAGGGGAAGGGATATTCAGAATGCATGCCATCTTGGGGTGGGGGGAGGGGGGAGATGGGGTGAAAATTTGGAACTCAAAACTTGTGGAGGTGAATGTTGAAAACTAAAAATAAATAAATTTATATTAAAAAAATAATTTTAACATATTCTTTTCCCCATCAAGAAGAGTGAAACCACTATAGTTGGATTTTAATATTAAAGTCCTGAATGAATATGCTACTTAAGGAAGTGGAAGTGGCACTGAATAAAATAGAGATGAGAAAAGCAGCTGTTGTACACCAACTACACAGGCAGGTCAGCTACTGGAACTGGACTGGAAGTCAGGAAGACTCTCAGAGAACAAATTCAGCCTCAGACACTTACTAGCAGTGTGACCCTGGGCAAGTCACTTAATCTCATAGCCTCAGTGTTCTCATTTATAAAATGGGAATAATAATAGTATCTATCTTGAAAAGTTGTTATGAGGATTAAATGAAATAATATTTGTAAATCACTTTGCAAACCATAAGTTGCTATATAAATGCTAGTTATAAATAAAAGATATCTGCACTGGAGGTGACAAAATTTTGAGAGCACTAAGGGAGCAACTTGAGACATCTGAAGATACTAAAGACAGGAGGAAAAAAGTCTTAGAGGGGGCAGCTAGATGGTGCAGTGGATAGAGCATAGGCGCTGGAGTCAGGAGGACCTGAGTTCAAATCTGGTCTCAGACACTTGACACTTACTAGCTGTGTGACCTCGGGCAAGTCACTTTACCCCATTGCCTCACAACCAAAAAAAAAAAGTCTTAGACCTTTTTATGACCAAAAGTAAGCCATCAAAAGAATACCAATAACTACTGATCCACATGCCCACTTTCCCATCTCTAAAAAAAAAATTAAAACAATCTACATATACACAGAAATCATAAGAAAAGAATAGGCAAACTTTCACAAACAATACTTTACATCCTTTATCTTTATAGTCAAAGTGACTGAAAATTCCAAAGAATCAAAATCCCACTGTGCTTTCTTGTCAATTAATTATTTTTAAAAAAAGGCATCTTTTCCAAACCAACCCTCTAAAGGTTTTCATTCAACAATCTCCCATGTAAATGTCAAAATTACACAAGATTTCTTGAAGGATATAACAGGATTCTGACCCATGTACTCTGATCAATTATATCAAACAAGGTATAAATCAGGTAAACACATGCTTTCTGATGGCACTTGCCATCATCCTGGAAGATAACCAGCACAGAATCACAATCAAAGAAGGATTCCCTATATGTGGTGGGCATCCCTCCAGATGCTCATTGTGTGTGTGTGTGTGTGTGTGTGTGTGTGTGTGTGTGTATGTGTGTGTTATTTTGATCCCTACCTGTGATTTCAGTGGGATGGGTAAACTTCTGACAAGAAAACTCCTTCTACAATTTCATATCAGAAACTTTTACATAATTTTTTAGTCTTAGAAAGTTGTCTGGGGCATGGAGGACTTGTGCGTCTTTGCTTGGGGTCACATGACCAGTATGTGTCCAAGGCAGGACTTGAATCGGGTGTTCCTGACTTGGGTATGCTCTCTATCCGCCACACCAAGCTGCTTGCCTCTCAAATATCCTTTTGTCATGGGTGCTATTTTACTGGTTGCTTCAGGTCCTGTGACAGAGACTCCGAAATAAGCTCCATAACCACTCAAAGAGTTCTACCTAGCTATCCATACAGCAAGGACAGGCACGAAGAATGTTTATTGTCCAATATGCCATTGGACATACTCAGAAAACTGGTCCATAAGTGCATGTGTATACACACACATATGTGTATGTATGTGACTGTGTGCACATGTGATATGCATATATGCATGCATGTATGGGTGAATATGTATGTACACGTATGTGTGCATTCATATGTATGGGATGTTTGGGAGGGTATAGGAGTGATATATACATACATTTGTTCAGTTCATTTTTCAGTCATGTTTTCTTGGCAAAGATACTAGAGTGGTTTCCATTTCCTTCTCCAGCTCATTTGACGAATGAGGAAATTGAGGCATATGGGGTTAAGTCATACACACATACACACAAAGATACTACACAGATATATATGTATTATGGACAAACACTGCCAATAATAATAATAACAGCTAGTATTTATACATTACTTTAAGGTTAGCAAAATACCTCACAAATATTATTTCATTTCATCTTCATAACAATCCTTGTGAGGTAGGTACTATTATCATCCTCACTGTACAGATGAAGAAACAGAGGCAAAAGAGGTTAAATGACTTGCCCAGGGTCATTTAGCTAGTAAGTGTCTGAGGAAGAATTAGAACAAATATACATTGATTTGGGCCCAAAATTGAATAGGAGGAGGTGAGCAGGCTGAATTGTCTTTAGGAAAGTATATAATGCTTTTAATGACCCTAAGAGCAATATTCTCCTGGTGTTGTATGGCCACAAGTCATGGGAAACCACAGTCTCCAAAGAACTGAAATTGAGTGTCAATCAAAGGGCAATGGAGTATTGGGTGTGAGCAGACTACAACACATAACAAGCCAAGAATTGCACTTTAAACAGTATAAAAGGTGTCAGTAAGAGAAATATATACTCAGAAGAAATGAGGGGCTGGTCACGTAGAGAGCTTGAGAAATAACCAACAGATAGTTCACATGCTTCACTAGAATTCAAGCAATTGTCAAGAGAATTAAAGGGTCCCCAACACATTAGGTAGCCCTCCATTTGGGACAATCCATTTAATATTTTATAGCATTTACATATTTCACATAAATAAATGGGAAATTTCAGGATAGAAAATCATGACATGTAAAGGGTGTCCAACTGCACTAAGATTTTTGGGACATCTGGTATATAGCTAGATACAAACACGAAATTGTATTACAAAGGACGCTAAGTTACCATCTAAACTCTTTATTATAATAGAATTTTGTTGTAGTGCTTATTGAATCATAAAAGTAAGAGTTTTAGAGCTGGTCAAGATCTTAGGGGTCATCTTATTCAATCTTCTCATTTTACAGATGAAGAAACTGAGGCCCAGAGAGGTTAAATAATTAGTCCAAGGGTAATAAGGGGCAGAGCTGGGAGTTTTAAATCCCATACATAGCTAATTTACAACTGGAGCTTCTGACTGTAATGCCAAAAATCTTCACTCTGCACCATGTTGCCTCCATAGACCATTGGTTGTGTTGGAAATTTTTTTGTTATACAAAGATTTCTGTTATAATGATATTTGTGATATGGGATTTGACCTTTATCATAAAATCACATTGTCAATTCATCCTAAATTTTAAGGATATTTACTTCTTCTGACCTCAATATTAGATTTCAAGAAATAAATCATTAACTTCACCATTGGGTTTTTTAGTCTTCCAGTATATCAAATAATTATACGTTGATAAGAACAGGAATACATGTGGTTCTAGCAAAATCATAAAATGTAGCTTTCACTAATGGATTTCTCTTAATTGTGTAATTGTTCATAATTTTCACTAAATTAATATTTATAACAAAGAATCCCCCCAAAAATGTTTTTACTCACTTAAATTTTCAGACTTAAGCCTTATTACTTCTTCTGTTCTTAATTTCAAAGTTTCCTTTAGGATTGAATTTTCACGGTATATTCTAAGGGAAAAAAATTTTTCTTATAAATTATGACTGATGATGCCATTCTTTCAATTGAGTTAAAATACTGTCATCATGATAATTAGAATACAAAAACTAGTTTTTCTTATTTTTAAGTAGTTAGTACATAATTTCTAAATTATGCGTAACACTGAGATAAAGACAATTTAATGGAATGCGGTCACTTTAAAGTGTTCCCTTTCCCCTAAATTTATGTAAATTGCTTTACTCAAGTAGTAATTCTCTTCAGAAGCATCTCTGAGCCTTCTGAGTTTCTGCATAGCCCTGTTTTGTACTTTTTGTTTTGCTGTAGTTTTAATTCAACCTAATAGGCATTTGCACATCAATCATATGTCTAGCACAATCTTAAAAGAAGGGGGAACAGATAAGGAACATAATCTTATTTCTTTTTTTTAAGAGATGATAATAATAATAATAACTAGCATTTAAATAGTGCTTTGCTAAACACTTTATGTTATCTTATCTGATCCTCACAGCAAACTTGTGAGGCAGGTGCTATTATTATCCCCATTTTACAAATGAGGAACCTGAGGAGAGAGGGCAAGTGACTTGCCCAAGATCAAATAGCTGGTGTCTAAGGCAGTATTCAAAACGCAAGTCTTCATGACTAGCACTTATACTAAGTAAATTTCCTGGTGAATCACCTGTGTATTTGAAAAAAAGTTGGAATATTCATTCCATAGGTTTCTTGAGTTACTGGGAACCATTTATTTAAAAAAAGGCATGTTGAAAACTATCTTTACATGTAATTGGAAAAAACAGAATACTTAATGGGAAAAAAAGGCATGGGGAGAAGAAAACTGAAGGACAAAAAGGTTTTACATTTCATGAGACCATTATAAACTTATAGAACTTATAACTTAAAATGAATATCAAAATAGTGGTATGGTCATGTGGAAATTCTAGGTGCTCTCTTTCAGTACTGCCCTACCATCTTCAGTCCAACAGTCTTTATTATTGCTCAAAACATTTTAGCAATTCAATGAAACATGCTATCTCTATAAATACACAGCAAATTGATTCACTTTCCACTATTAACTCAGCACATAGTTATCAGGCAAGGGTTAGGTATGTCAGTTTCATGGCTTTCCAAACAGCGCCTGCCTATACTGCCCAAAGAAAGGAAATAGGCAGATAGATAAATAAGCAATCAAATGAATGAATGAATGAATACTTCAACAACACCTCCACCATTCTGAAAGCATATTCAACATAACATAGAAAAGATGCTGTGTGTTAGTGACAGCAAAAAAGGGGAAAAACTATAACTTACAAAAAGTATTTTCACAGAAGCAAAATTTAAATACCAAAAAATACTAATATTAACGGGAAAACATGGAATTGGTGGTCAGAAAACACATAATTATTACTCAGCCTAGTTTAGGATTAAAACATGAAAGGGGAGACAGTTAAATTATACTCATTTTGAAGATTTGTTTTTATTTGAAAAGAAAAAAAATGTAGTAGCATACAAACCTGTCATATTTTTGGGCCCAAGATTCCTCTGCAGTTTTAAATCTATCATGATCAAATTCAATTTCCCACTGCAGGGCATTTATTTCCTATGGAAAGAAACAAAAAGTGTCTCATGACAGTGAATGACTAATCATAAACCCATTCTAATCTAATGTAAATAACTGGTTAAACAGTTGATTACAAGATAAATATTCTCAGGATTACTGAGACATCTTGTTAGTCATGATTATACCTTTAAAGTTGACACATAAAGCATTCCTCTCAGTAGTTTCTCACATAAATACATACTTGCCAGGTGGTTTGTACCATGTGAACTCCAGGGATAAGCAGAGAGCTGTTGATGGTAACTTTCATATAATTTGCTGTTTTACCTCTTGGCCTCAATGACAATACAACCTCTCTAGCACAGAGGTGGAGAACAAATGGAGTAAAACTATAAAAGTCCGGGACTGCGTCAACTACTTGTGAAGACAGCAATCAAAAGTTACTTTCACCAGATGAATTTTAAATAACAGTTTAATTTCAAATCTAATCAAGTGAATGTAATCTAGAAGAATCTATTAGACAAACATACAAATAAATGCAGTAGAAGTCAGAATGTAGTAAGTTCCATTAAAATAATTATTCAGCAAAATGCAAAACTGGGGAGGGGAAAGGAACAAGAAAGAGGAAGAAGAAGGCCTCATTACCAGGACCCTCAAAAGCTGAAAGTGATAAATGTAGACTTTAGTTTCAAAGTTGTGCTGCATTATACGGGTCTACTCTGAAAGCTGTTCTTACCTTTTCCAAAGATTTCTTCTGTTCTTCTGATTTTTGAAGTATTTCTTTGGTATGGCTAGTAGCTTTACCAAATATTGCCTAATTAAAACAAAGTTTAACTATTATTCGTTTAAAGCTCACCAATAATCATTCCTATACGTATAGTGAAAGTTTTTTTAATTACCATAGTATAGAAGAGAATATTCATTTGACTTAAAAATAAAATAGATAATTGCATAACTGTTAATGCTGAAACAACCAAAACAATAAATTATAAAACATCTCTGGTACAATATTCCATAATATATTGCTTTAATACCAACTTAGAAACTTGCTAATTTCAGGCAAAGGTTAAAAGGCATATTAGACAACCCTCAAATGTCTATATGACAGAGATCTTTTCTAGTAAAATAAATTTCATCTCTAATAGCCAAAAAGAGAAGCATTATATCATCAATATAGTAATATAGCTAAGAATTTTGGACTCCCAACCAAAAATTTCTAGAAGGCCTCCCAATTACTTCTACCATGTTAAAATTTTCCTCTTAACAGAAGGAAGTCCAGAAAAAAAATCACAAACAGGACAACTTTGAAAGCTACAGGATGAATTTATTATATATTTTATAACCATATAGCATATAATTAAAAAGAAAAGCAAGTTACACATGAAAGAGATTCATATTTTCACCTATAAGCCACTTTTTTCTGTTCTACTACATATATGGAAATGCTCATTTTATTTAGTGTTTGTTCAAAATAAAAATAAATTAATTTTTAAAGAGCAAAATAGCCTCTCACTTCTCATCTCAAGTCCCGTATCTCATCTCTATTAGTAGTTTCTTAAGGGAAAACAAAAGACCAAAGTTTATTTGGGAGGAAGCAGATTTCTATAAGTTCATGTCATTAATAGCTGACAGCTCAAATAATTTTATATTTAATCAACTTGTAGTGACTAAAGAATGATGCAACTGAGGAAGTGAATAAATTAAAAGGTTAAAAAAAAGAAATAAAGGGTCAGCAAATGCAGAGACAGGATTAAGAAAATTAGATTCTTGGTTAACATTAAAAACTGGAAACCATACCACTTAAGTATAAGTGTACATGATTACAACTATTTTTAATCAGCTTTTTTTACCATGCTTTGGAGAATTTTCAGTGCTTCCCTTTTCCCCTCAAGTTGTCTTTGTGATGCTTCAAGCTCAATTCGTAGAACCTCTACTTCCTGAACAAGGAAAAGTACAGAAAAAGTAAAGCTCTTCCTCCTCCACACACATCTATAAAACATAAATTTACTTAGCTTATATTTAATTATGGCCTCAGAGCAGTGTATGAGTAAATAAACAACCTACAGATTAAAAATAGAATGCCCCACTGCAAATCAAATAATCCATATGATTAGAATTTTGAAGACTTTGCTTCATTAGATCATTTGAGGGCATTCCAGGGCAATGGTTACTTAACATTCAACTAGAAAGTTACAAATCATCTGCATACCTACTTGCTTGCTATGTTCAATCCTCTCACTCTAAACCTTCCTCTCTGCAAAAGTCAGCCCTGGTGAAAATGCTCATTTCTATACTTCTGAACTACTCTTCGCTCTTCTGCATTCCAGGGCAGGCTATTCAAGACTACACATTCAAAGAAAGCAGGAAGACAGGAGGAAAGAAGTGAAGGACATATGCATAGCTATATTCTTAAAGAGAGAGCTTTGAAAGAGGGAGCTTGAAGGGTTCATTACCAAACATAATTCCTTTGAGAGACAATGAGGGTGAAGATGAAGGGCAATGACTCTGAGCCTGAAAAAGGGTACATGCTGTGACTTAGTGACAACATCTAAAAAATTAAATATTTGCCTTCCATATGCCTTTACTATTACTTAAATCTTTATTTTGGATTCAAATAGTTTTCACACTTACCAAAGATCAAATAACCTACCTGTAAAACATCATGAAGCCATTGCCTTAATTCTTCACTTGATAATTTTGAATCAGTAAAATCTATGAAATTAAATGTATTAATTTAGTACTTCTAACATTTAAGTAGAGAAAAATATATGCTTTTTCATAAGAAATCAAATACACCTTTTTTCCAAATCATAAGTAATCCAAACAAAGTTCACATACTATTCAGTCTAACAGTTCACAAATTAAGATTAAATTTTTTTTAAAAAAGATGCAGACCAACAGTAAGAACTCATTCTGTAATAGGTAAAGAAAGGGCCATGGCAGAGATTCTAATCTAATGCTATGTATTGCCTCCATGGATAAACCTAATAGAAAAGTAATTTGGAAAGCATATAATTTTATTATAATATTTTTAGATCCAATTAATTAATATTTATTAAGGCCTTACTATATGCCAGGCACTGTGCTAAGTAAGCACTAGGTTTCAATTTCATCAATAAAATTATAGGGATATTTGAATGAGGAATATTATGATATATATAATTAATTTCACAAGAATAATGACTAAAATTAATTTATAACTTCAGTCACCTCTTCCCTTTCTGAAACTGTACTCAATTTTGTGTGGAATTTCTAAAAGTTAACCTTATGTGAATAAAACTGAGGTAAGAAACACAGTCTTTATTTTTATTGTGACAATGACATGGAAAAACACAGATGACCAATCTTCAAGTGAGCAGTTAAGAAGGAGAAATTGTTAAAAGTTTTTTGAATGAGTTTAAATAAAAAGAAGGTATTACCACTGGTAAAAAATTACAAATACTGCTTTCCTCTTCATTGCTATTTTGAACATTAACCAAAATGTTAGTAATTGAGGCACAATTTACATCATGGTTTTTTCCCTGAGTCTCTATGAAGGTACTATTTCTTTCTTTTTTTTTTTTTTAAATCATCACTATTTCTCAATAACCACCTCCCATTAGAATTCTCCTTTTTTTTTTTTTGGCAATTGGAGTTAAGTGTAGAATTCTCCTTTTTAAGAAAAGGGTACCTTTAAAGCAAAACGGATTTATGACCCTGCCTAACTGCAAAAAAATTCCATAGCAATAGTTCACCTCTTCTCAGTCTTTTCCCAACAAAATTGGTCATAGTACCTCAGTTTTGATTTTTTAGTATTATTTTCCTTTACCTCACTGTGTTCATTTTGGGCTTTATTATTCTCAGTTCCTCTTACTTTGCTCTGTAGCAATTCATAGAAAGTCTTTATATTTTTCTCTAAATTCTTCATATATTACTTCTTTCAGTACAAAAATATCCCATTATATTCATAGACCACAGTTTGTTTAGTCGTTCCTCAAATAACGGGCATCCACTTTATTTCCAGTTTTATGCTACCTCAAAAAGTATGCTATGAGTATTTGGAAACTTTACATAAGATTTTTCTGTTTTTTTAACTTCCTTGGGTACATGCCTAGCAACAGAATTCCTGAGTCAGGGGTAGCTAGGTGGCACAGTGGATACTCTGGAGTCAGGAGGACCTGAGTTCAAATTCGGTCTCAGACCAGACACTTGACACAGACACTTACTAGCTGTGTGACCCTGGGCAAGTCACTTAAGCCCAATTGCCTTGCCAAAAAAAAAAATTCCTGAGTCAAAGGGTACAAACAATTCATTCCAAATTGTTTCCCAGATGGTTGCAGCAATTCACCGGTCCATCAACAACAATGTATTTGTTTGCCTGCCTCTCCACTGTTGCTCCAACATTGACTCCTTCCATCTTTTTATCATCTTTGCTAACTTGGGATGAAATATGAATTATTACAGTTTGCATCTCTCTCATTATTAGTGATTTAGAACATTTTTTCACATGTATCATTTGCATATCTTTTGAAAACTTCATAATCTTTGATCATTTGTGATAGGATTTCAAGAACTGATTAACCCAGTGGAATATCTTGAAATCACAGTGGCAGAGCTGGTGGGATACAATTAAAAAATGACAGTGCTATCACACTAATCATAGGATTTAGAGCTAGAAAAAATCTTTAAAAAAGATCATCTAATCCAAGTCTTCAATTTTACTGGTCTGGCAAAAGATCTTAAACAGTTTTAAAAGAAACAATATGATTAGAATATTGGAAGTTGGTACAGAAAGGGACATAAGAACTTGTCCATATCAACTGTCCATTCTACATTTGGGGAACCTAGCACCAAATAGTTTGGCCCTAGGGGCAGCTAGGTGGCTCAGTGGATAGAGTGCAAGGCCTGAAATCAGAAAGACTCATCTTCCTGAGTTCAAATCTAGCCTCAGACACTTACTAGGTATGTGACCTTGGACGTGTCACTTAACCCTGCTTGCCTCAGTTTCCTCATCTATAAAATGATTTGGAGAAGGAAATGACAAACCACTCCAGTATCTTTGCCAAGAAAACCCTAAATGGGGTCACGAAGAGTCAGACAGGACTGAAATGACCCTACACCAATATGGCCCAAATAAGTTATTTGACTTGCTTAGAGTTACATACATAGCATCCTCATTAGAAGTATTACATAAATGTGAGTTATCATTATTAATGCCAGATCCTTTTATCCAATGCTTTATTATGCCATGGAGGTGACCCTGGGTCCTAGAAAGCTAGCTAGGTTAGTAAAATATAAGCCTTAGCAGATTTCATACCAGGGAAACTGACTGTCCTACAATAAACAGCTGAACTAAGTAGAAGGATTGTCACCAACAGGTTGGCCAGTAGATGAAACTTTTAGCCACAGTGACCTACGAAATAGATGACAATGAGTCTCAGTTCTGTGACATCCACTTCTACTTCCATGTTGACAATTGTGAAGCAGTAGAAAAAAGGGCAAAAGTTTCCATATTAGATAAGTGGCCAAAGGATATGAACAGCTTTCAAAAAAAAAAAAAGAAATGCAAATTGATCAACACCATATTAAAAAAAAATACTCTGAGTCATTAGTAATAAGAGAAATACAAATTAAAAACAACTTTGGGGTTTCCCTTCACAATAATCAAACTGGCAAAGATGATAAAAGATGGGAATAGTCAATGTTGGAAGTACAATGCTCTAAAAAGACAGGTACACTAATACACAGTTAGTTGATGGAGCTAAGAATTGGTTGAGGAACACTTTAGAACAGTTTAAAAGTATGTGATCAAAGTGAATGAGTTGTTCATACCCATAATCCCAGCAATACATACCACCACTGGCACACATTGAAAGGACCAAGACAGAAGGAACCTGGAGGTATAAAGATGAGAATAAAACTATCCCTGCCCTCAAGGAGTATATATTCTACTGGGAGGAGGAGAGAAGAGAAATACACACAAGTAAATGAACATATGTGTGTGTATAGGTAAATACACACACACACACACACACACACACACACATGCACAATATTTCAAAAGGAAAATAGGGCTAACAACTAGGAAGATCATGGGGAAAGGCCTGAGCTGGGCTCTGAAAGAAGCTAGAAATGCTATGAGGCAGAGGGGGCACATTCCAGATACGGGGGACCGCTTGTGCAAAGGCAGAGGTGAGAAATAGAATGTCATAAATGGGAAACAGTTAGCAATTACTTATGATTAGAACAAAGAGTGTGGAAAGGGAAACAATATGAAATAAGATGGGAAGTTCATCAACTGGCATTTATTAAGACAAGTAGGTAAGAAACATGGAAGGGTCTGAATAGCAGGTTGTAAAAAATAAAACAGCGTTAGTGGTTTATATTTTACCCAAGAAGCAAGAGGGAGTTTTTGAAGATTTTCTGGGGGAATGAAGTGTGAAACGAGAGTGAAATGTTTTAGGTCTATTAATTTAGCAGTCATGTAGAAGCTGTATAGGAGAGGGGAAAGACTGGATGTGGGATGACCTCTGGTGGTAGAGATAGGATATTCACTAGTCCAGTTGAGATGGGATGAGGGCATGAACTGGGGTAGAGACCATGATCAAGGAGAGAAGGAATGAATGCAATGTAGGTTATGGAGCTATAATTAACAAAGCTTCATTCAGTGGATGCAGGAGTTGAGGGAGTGGGAAAAGTCAAGTTTAACTCCAAGATTGTGAACCTAGATAACCGAAGTGATGGTGGTGCTCTCAATAGAAATTTGGAGGAGGGAGGGATTTAGGGGTGGGAATATGTAAAGAAATTAATTTAAAATATTCACTCATAAGCTAAATACTGAAGCTGAAGCTTAAATATTTTGGCTACATAATGAGAAGATGGGACTCATTGGAAAAGAGCCTGATGTTGGGCAAAAGGAGAAGGGGATAGCAGAGGATGAGATGGATAGAAAATGTCATGGAACCAATGAGCATGAATTTGGACAGACTTCAAGAAATAGTGGAGGACAGAAGCACCTGGCGTGCTGTGGTCCATGGGGTCACAAGGAGTGGGACCAACTGGACAACAACAGAAAAAAACAAATTAATGAGGTCCATTTGAGACCTGGATGTCCTATTGGACATCCAGGAAGCAGTTGCTAAAGGTGGGGGGGGTGTAGTTAGGAGGGAGATTAGGGATGGAGACATAAATTTGGAAGTCATCTGCATAAAGATAATATTTTACACATGAGAGCTGATGAGTGTAAATCAAGGAAGAGGTCCTATGTATACCAAAATAGTTAAGGCAGCACTTTTGTGGTAGCAAAAAAAGAGTGAGCGCTCATACCGACAGTCCTATGAAGTAGCCAGAAGAGAATTTCTAAAGTTATAACTGACTACTCAAATCGAAGTGTTAGGAAGACTTTAATTTGCTATAATCATTCAGAATAAGGGAGGGAAAAAATGAGAAATTTTGTCTTACCGGTACTAATTTGTTGTTTAGAACTTGCAAATCCATGCTTTTCGGAAAATGTACCATGTGAATTATGATGCTTGATATAACGAAAAATGGCACTGCTGCTTTCTTTCCCCTTTTCTGGAGATGAAGGAAAGGATCCTTTTCTGGAAATAGATGCATTTGAATCTTCCATTTCATAAATACCACCAGGTTTTCTGCCAAGTCCATTTCCTAGATCTCCATCTATCATGTCATCTTCCCCTCCAAAGGTTTCCTCCTCCAGTTTCATGGGTAATTCAATCACCACACTCATTAGTCAAATGTGCTTTTAATAGAGGAACACGCTTATCTATAGATAAGAGAAATAGTCATAACACACGAATTTAATAAAAAAGGTCAAATTTGGGGGGAATGAATGGAATGCTCCCAGTACTCTAAACAATTACTTGAATATGCCATCAATGCAAAAATACCAACAATAACAACAAACTTCATTGCAAAGAAACTTAAAAATCACATGACCACCATTCTGATTTTACTTGCTAAAATGTAAAAATAAAAATCCTAAGCACTCCTGATTTCAAACTGTTGAAAATTTGAGAGTAATTGTTTCCTCTGAATTCAACATCCTACTGATCAAAACAAACAAACCCAGTCCCTTCCAGCAAGACAGGGCATTATCAGTTTTTTCAAAGGTATAATAAAATAAAATAGTTTAGTACTACATTAAAGGAGGTAGATCAGAGCATGAATCCTCTCTTCAAACTGTTAAGATATATATAGTTGAAGCCACCACCATACTCACTACAGTCCCAAGGAACTATTGCTTTGCCAGTAACTGTTGAAATGAAGTCAAAGTTTTTAATGACTTGACAGTAAGGGAATCTTCTATACATGAGGAAAGGAAGAGAAAGAACAGAAGGAAGGAAAGAACAAAGAAAGAAAAAAGAAAAGAAAAGAAAGAGAAGGAGAGAGAGAAAGAAAAAGAGGAAGGAAGGAACGAAGAAAGGAAGGAAGAGAGGGAAAAAAGAAAAAACAGTAGAGGAAACAAAGCAGATATTGTTGGATGACAATGGTGATAATGTCAACTTTGTGAAGTTGATACCTCTGAATTACTGCCAATATTGTTTGTATGATACCAGGAGGAAAACAGACTAAGAAATAAGACCCTGTCTTTACATTCTGGGATCTTGAAAGTGCAACTTTGAAAAGAAAGATGATGTATTCTAGTCCTAAAGATACCATTAAAATTTTTTTACAGGTATAGAATACATGTCAAATAAATAGCTTGATATTAAGTGCTATTCGGTAATTGGAAAGAAATTGGTAGGCAATGTAGTTTTATTTGAAGGAAGACTCTTATAAAACGAAAGTGGAGTGTGATACAGATATATGTAGCTTCCATTTCTGAACCTCTATCAACTGAAAGAGATTTTGACCCTTCCTACTACACCCTGCCAGAAAACATTAAGATATTACTACTTTAAGCACACCTACCAATAATTTTATTTTACTTATCAGAGAATACACCAAGGGGGAAGGGTATTTCTTGATTCTTCTCTCCCACCATGAGCAATGGTATCTTGTAGCAGAAAGCACATGGCCATAGTACACATGTGTTTACATGCAGGCTGATTCAAGACTATGGCTTCCTCAACCCTAAGGTTCTGTGTGGACAATCCTTAGATATAATCTAGCCTGCTAGCACAGAAGCGTCAGCCCCTACTTTAAAGGTTGCTTCATGGGTAAAATCCAATTTTAAGAGTTCCCAATTTTGAAAGTTCCAAGCACTATATCTTCTAGAGAGAGGATTCCCTGATACATCCAGATCCTTGGAGATAGAAAAAGCCAGTCCATTTGGCTCCTATGCAGCATCATATTTGGACTGCAGAACCACTGAAGACTTCAGCTGAGCCAGAAACTTGGTCTCGTAGAAGCCCAATGGAGTGTAATCTAGCAGAGATTGTGAGACCAATACAATCAGGAACAGTTCAAGGACAACAATGACCTTGAATATTAGAGATATAAAATGTCCCCTCCAACATGCCATCATCATACATGACTCCAATGTGTGAATTTTACTACTCATGACTTGTATGTATATATACATATCCTTTCTAATGTTAGGTATATTTGTGAGAGAGGTTTATGGGATATATTTGTTTCTATTCTTCATACAACCCATTTCAGTAAATGCCTTAATTTAAAGCTAACTGTGTCCTCTGGCTGACTACTGAAAGCTAAATACATCAGTAGGAGCTTATGTGCAATAGCTTGAGGAGTTGAGGATTCACAGATTACTTTGAATTTGAAATAGCCATCCAACCCAACCTCTGAGTTGGCACTATCTATAGAAGTCTAAGCACTCCACAAAATTTGAAAAGTTATGGGAATAAAATCAATTTTAAATGATTAAGACATCCCTTGACCATGGCTGGACCTTGACAAAACTGTGAAGCAAGCAAATTCCTCCTGTCCCAGCTTGTCCTTTCTCTATTCTTTCATCCCTTCTATGCTTCATCATCAAAAGAATGTAGACCCCTTTGGGGTAGGACTCATTTGGGGAGTTTTGGGTTTTTGTATTTCCTGTGCCTAATACAGTGCCCTGGACATAGTAAGCATTTAATAAATACTCACTGAATTAAATGTCTATGCTCTCCCTTCCTCACCTTCAACTAAAACCAATGAAGAAAGAATCTTAGAACCCCATTTATTTTTAATAAGTCTTTACAAGTTATCTCTCCAAAGTCCATTTGTATTTAAGCAAAGGAATGAATTTCTAATTGTGGAATCCTAAGAATCTAGGTGGTAGAGAAAACATTTTCAGGGAGAATAAGATCTTACAGTGCCCCTGAAATTACATCCTTTTGTCCAGTACCTACTGTTCCTAATCAAAACCTGGCCCAGTTCTTCATTTCATTCTTTCATTTCAGTTTCTAGCCAGGCACAATAAAGCAGATACTTTGAATGTATACATGTTAAGAGAAGGTAAGGAAACAAGCATTTATTAAGTGCCCACTATTGTCAAGGCATTTTGCTAAGCAATTTACAAATGTTATCTCATTTGACCCTCTCAACAACTCTGGGAAATGGGTGCTATTACCCTCATTTTGAAGTTGAGGAAACTGAGGCAAGAGGTTAAGTGACTTGCCTAGGGTTCCAGAGTTAGTAAGCATCTGAGTTTAAATTTGAACTCAGGTCTTCTGACTCCAGACCCAGGGTATTCTGTCCACTGAGTCCCAACAAAACAAATCCTCTGAGATGTTCCCCCCTTTACCCCCAAAAGCTGGTAACAACTAGCCTGCAATCCTGAGAAGGTCCCACTGTATTCTGTGATACTACCACTTGTTCTTATTTCTAAAGGAAAACTGATAAGAGAAATGCACTAATGAGAATGAAACTTCACTTTGGTATCCTCTCATGTACTGTTGCCTCCTATCTTTTGAAGGGTGATTGCTAAAAAGAATACAACAAAATTCTAAGTCTCCTCCCTCCTGTGCAAAATGGGATAACAGTAGCGATAATTTCAAACCAGCTGCTTCACTGCAGTCATTTAAATATTCCATGGTTTTCTTCATAACAACTCATATCTCTATAGGGCTTAAAGCTTACACAGTACCTTCCTCACAACAACCCTGTGTAAGACAGGTAGTGCAGTATTATTATTATTATCCCTATTTTACTGAAGAGAAAACTGAGGCCCAAAAAACAGAAGCAATTTGCCCCAAAGACATACCCATAGTATGTGACAGTCTGAATTTGAACCCATGCCTCCTGACTCTTAACCCATTGTACCATACTGCTTCCAAATAAACCTATTACAAATCGGTATTTTTTAAAAACTATCACTTTTGCATACACTTAAAAAGATAAGCCACAAAAGTACAACATATAATGACTATAACAATGTAAATGAAAAGATCCCTAAAAGGAAGTTGAACCCAAGGAAGGAAGGGCCTGGAGAAGAGATGATAAAACATACCTCCTCCCTCACTGCAGAGAGGTGGGAGACTTACTAGGGGGCCTAAAAGGGCACAAATATGCACTGTCAAAAAAGGTTTCTGTGTCAGATGTTTTGGCTTAATTGTTTTTCTTTGTCACAAGGGAGGGTGGGAAACCACTATGATGTAAAGACAAAAGGCACCAAAATAAAATGTATTTTTTAAAGATGAGTATTTTGTGTGATGTTAACAGAATTCAATTTAGGTGATAAACCTCAAGATTCACAGCAAAATCTGGGGAAACAAATGCGTCTTGCACCTTCTCTCAAATATTCTGCTCTCTAAACAACTGGTTGGTCAGAGCTCCAAAGAAATGCAATTTTACTGCCATGGACCCTCAACTTAAGTATCTTCTATACCATGACAGCTAGACATAGGTCAGGAAATAAGGAGTTCAGCTATCCCTTGGAGTCACTGACTTAAAAATAAGGTTTACAAATAATAAAAAGAATAATGGCTAATCCAGCAATTTTTAATACTTTTTGGTGTGAGAACCCTCATAAAAATTATTCAGGACCCCTGCCAAGAGGTTTTGTTTATGTGTGTTATATTTATCAATATCTACCCTTTTAAAAGGGCAGCTAGGTGGCACAGTAGACAGATCACCAGGCCTGGAGTCAGGATGACCTGAGTTCAAATCTGACCTCAGATACTTACCAGCTATGTGACCCTAAGCAAGTCACTTAATCCCTATTTGCCTCAGTTTCCTTATCTGTAAAATGAGCTGGTGAAGGAAATGGCATACCACTCCAGTATCTTTGCCAATAAAACCCCAAAAGGAGTCATAAAAAGTTGGACACAATTGAAAATTACCATACAATGTTCACCTCATTAAAAATGAAAACATCTTAGTATCATTAGGAAAAAGTTTTAACTTCGCATACCCCCTGAAACCATTTTGGGACCACTATGGGTCCCTGATTACACTCTGAGGACAAAACCACTAGCTAATCAAACAACTCTCTATTAGGTTGAGGAAATGCTTCATAGTTATTCAAAAGAACAACTGGATAGGATATGTTAACATAAAGATGCATACAACATTTATTTGGCCAGAATCATGATTTCATTGGTATGGGCTATTGCCAGTAAAGAAATACACTTCTACCAACAAAAAAAAAATCTACTATTCTGCAACTTATTGTCTCAGAGACTTGCCCAGGGTCACACAGCCTTTTGTCTCTGAGACACATATATGTATATGAGGAAGGACTTGAACCCAGATCTTCCTGACTTAAAAGTTGGCTCTCTGATACACTAGGCCACACTACTAGTAAAATAATTTTTTAAAAAGTGGAAAATACTCACAAAAAAAAAAGCGAAAACAAAAACAAAAAGGGGCAGCTTGATGGCACAGTGGATAGAGCTCTGGCCTTGGATTCAGGAGGACCTGAGTTCAAAATCCAGCCTCAGACACTTGACATTTAGTAGCTGTGTGACACTGGGCAAGTCACTTAACCCTGACTGTCTCACCAAAAAAAAAAAAAAGTAAAAAAAGTGGAAAATAAAATCACAGGGTTCTAAAACTAGAAGAGGATCCTAGGGCAGTGAGGTTCCTCAAAAGGAACATTGACCCTGGAATCAGAGGGTCTGGGTTAAAATCCCACTCATCCCCATGCTTACTACTTGTGACCTTAGGCAGGTCACTTATCCTGGACCTCCATTTCCTCACCTGTAAAATGAAGGGTTTGGACTAGGTCCCTCCAGTTCTGCACCTATAATCCTGTGATCAACTGGTGCGACACTCTCATCTTAGAGCTAAGGAAGGTAATGCAAAAAAGAATCAAAATGACTTAATCAGTATTAGAAAGCTAACAAGCAGTACAGCACAAAGTTAAGTTTACTCAAATACTAAATCTAGTGCTTTCAATTTTTATTGTGCTGTCTTTGTATACAGAGCCAAATTATACCTTGTTAAGAACTATATTAACAAGGATGATAAAAGAGATTAGAGTGATGTAAATGGAGTACAATATCCATTAGAGTTTTGGGGGACCTATTTTTGGGTATAAGTTATTTAGTCAGTCACATTTATTAGCTACTTACTATATGCCAGGCAGGCACGGTGTTAAACGCTGGGAATACAAAGAAAAGCAAAAACAGTCCCTGCCCTCAAGGAGCTTACATTCCAATGGGGGAGACATCCTGTAAATAACTAGGTACATACCAGTTATATACAGAGTAGGTGGAAGGAATTAGCAGCTGATGGGGATCAGGAAAAGCCTTTTTTGAAAGAGAGGATTTGAGTTAAGTTTTGACGGAAGCCAGGAAAACCAAGAGGTAGTGGTGAGAGGGTGGAGTATTCCAGGCATAGGGCACAGCCAGTCAGAAGAAAGAGATGCGAGATGAAATACAGCGTTCCAGGAAGTGCAACTAGGCCAGTGCAGATGGATCATCTAGTTTGTGGGGGGAAGTAAGAAAGGAAGAACCCTGGAAAGGTGGGAAGTGGCTAGGCTATAAAGATCTTTAAGTGACTTAGGTAAACACACGGCCTATGCCATTTCTTAGGTATGAGACACAGAATGGCTTCTAGCACCTCTCTCACTAGCAGCTTTTGATCCAGTCAGACTGGAAGCCAGGAATGGAGTCATAAGAAGGGGTCTTCTCAAAGAGAGTTTGCTGATAATGAGAGCCAACTCCTACAGCATTCCCTAACAACCCTTCTCACAGGACCTGGCATGATTGGGGAGCAACCGGCACAACTTGTGCTTCCCCCTAGATCCCTTCAAGCCTCAGCGGGGATGGTCGAGGCAAACACACAGATTCCCCCTCCCAAGCCTGGATGGGGGCCGATCAAGGCACGCACAGCCTTCCAGCCTGCACTTTCACCCCTAAGGGGGTCCCCAGGCACTGACCAGTGCCTACCTGCTTTATAGGGCAACAGACAAAAAAGGCATATTTCCAGCAATAGCCTCACAATTTTACATCACTTCACCTCTATATCTACCGCGACTATGCAGTATAAACTGTTCTGAACCATGATAGTGAGAACTCATATCTAAAACCTGGGAAGTAGAGATCGTTGTGGCTATGGATCCTGGGAAGAAAACTCTAAGAAAGCATAACAAAAAATCCACTTTACACGCACTAGAATTCACTTTCCTTACACTGACAAACAAAAGAGTTTAGATGATTCTAGAGCTGAGGGGGTGACATAGTCAGAACTGGGCTTCAGAAAAATCAGCTTGTCAGCTGAGTGGAGGATGAATTATATTAGAAGACTTGAGGTGGGGAGCCCATTTACAAGGCTACTGCAAAAACTCATTTGAAAGGTAATGAAGGCCTGTGAGTGGTGGCTGTTTGAGAAGAGAAGATGACAGAAATATGAAAGATGCTGTGAAAAGTAGAAATGACAAAATTTAGCGAGGTATGTGGGGAGACAGGAGGAGTCGAGGCTGACATTGAGGTTGTGAGCCTGTATAACTGGGAGAATGGTAATGCCCTCAGTAGTAATAAGGAAGCTGGGAAAAGGGGGAAAGATTTAGAGGGGAAATAATAAGCTTTGTGTACATGTGACTATTGCTGAGGAGAGAGAATAGATAGGGCTGGAAATGCACCCCATTGTTGTTCAGTCTTTTTTCAGTCATGTGCCACTCTTCATTAATCCCATTTGGGGTTTTCATGGCAGAGATACTGGAGTGGTTTGCCCATTTCCTTCTCCAGGCTCATTTTTACAAATGAGGAAACTGAGGCAAACAGGGTAAAGTGACTTGCCCAGAGTTACACAGCTAGGAAGTATCTGGGGCCAGATTAGATTTGAACTCAGGAAGATGAATCTTGCTGACTCCAGGGCTGCCTGACACTCTCTCCACTGTTGCCCATCATCTGCATAAAGATGATAAATGAAATCATGAAAGCTGATAAGAACACCAAGGAAAATAGTATGAAAAGGAAGAAGACAGACTAAGACAGACCCTTAAGGCACACCCACAATTAATTAGTTCATGAGAAAAGTGTCAAAAAAAAACTGGAAGGGAGGGAGTATTCAGGAGGTGATCAGCAATGCTAGAGAGAAATCAAGAAGGATAAGGATTGAGAAAAAGTCATTAGGTTTTGGCAATTAAATCGTTGGTAACTTTGGAAAGAGAAGTTTCAGTTGTTGAAAAAGCCAGACTGCATAGGATTTAGAAGAGAAGGAGAAGAGAACACAACCTAGAAGTCATCCTGGACTCCCATCTCTCACTTAACATTTTGCCTCAGTTTCCTCATCTGTAAAATGAGCTAGAGAAGAAAATGGAAAACCACTCCAGTCTTTGCCAAGAAAACCCTAAATGGAGTCACAAAGAGTTGGACATGACTACAAAGACTGAACAACATCTCTCCAATATGCCCCCTTCTCTCCTCTGACTGCCACCCCTCTAGCCCAAGCCCTCATTGCTTCATGTCTGGACTATTGAAATAGCCCGCAGGTGGATCTGCCAGTCTCAAGTCTCTCCTCGCCCCAATCAGTCACTAAAGTGATTTTCCTAAAGCACAGTCCAATCATGTCACTCTATCCCCCTACTTAATAAACTCCAGTGGGTTCCTATTGCCTTCAGGAGGAAATACAAACTGCTGTTCGGCATTCAAAGCCTTTCCTAACCTAGCTCCTTCCTACCTTTCCAGGCTTCTCACACCTTACTCTTTTGATCCACTGACACTGGCTTTCTGGCTGTTCTGCAGACAAGACCCTCCATCTCTTGGCTCTTGGCATTTTCTCTATCCTCCATGCCTCTAACACCCTCCTCTGCTCAGACTACTGCCCTCCCTGGCTTCCTTTAAGTCTCAACTAAAATCCCACATTCTACAGGAAGCCTTGCCTTTGTTGTTGTTGATGTTGAGGGCAGCTGAGTCACCTGACTCAGTGTTCCTAGAGTCAGGAGGGAAACCTGAGTTCAAATCCCACCTCAGACACCTACTAGCTGTGTAACCCCGGACAAGTCATTTAACCCTGTTTGCCTCAGTTTCTCCATCAGTAAAAAAAAAATGAGCTTGGAGAAGGAAATGGCAAACCACTCCAGTATCTTTGCCATGGGGTCACAAAGAGTTGTATAGGACTAACAACAAAAATCCCACACGCTACATTCTGTGGCTTCCCCAACTGCTTTTAATTCCAGTGCCTTCCCTCTGTTAATTATTTCTTATTTATCCTGTAGATGGTTTACTTTGTATGTTTGTTCACATTTTGTCTCCCTCATTGGATTGTGAGCTCTTTGAGGACAGGGACCGTCTCTGGCCTCTTTTCTATCTTCAGGGATTAGTAGGCATTTTATAAATGTTGATTGATTGATTGATTGATTGAATTAGTCCTTTATTAGCATGGCCTTTGAAAATAACAAAGACATTTGTATAGCATTTCAATTCCATTTTGAATGGGCCTTAGATATCTCCAATGCAATTTATCTAAAACAGAACTCTTAAATTTCCTTCCTTACCCAACCCAGCCCAATCCCCAATTCTCCATTTAGGTTGCTAGCATTCACAATGTAGGAGTAATTCTTGATTCTTCCTTCACTCTCAACCCCCATTTCTAATCAGTTGCCACATCTCTGGCATCTCTCTCCATTTAGAGCTTTTACCCTAGTTCAAAACCTCATAATTTATCACCTGGACTATCACTATAGCCTCCTGATTCGTCTCCTTATTTTGATTTCAGTCTCTTCCCTTTTCAATCCATCCTTCATGTAACTGCCAAATTGATATTTATAAAAAGCAGATCTGACAATGCCATTCTCTTCCTTCCCTTACTTAGAAAAGTCAAAAGCCTCTTGGATAAAACATAAACTCAAATCTATCATTTAAAGTTTACCACAATACACCTCCAACATACCTTTCCAGGAATGGTCCATGGTCCAGGAACAGACCAGGTATGGTCCATAGTATTGGCCACACTGAACAACATCAGTAAGTCTCTCCGCACCCCAATCCACCCTCCATTCAGTAGATAAACTGATTTTATTAAAGCACAGATCCAAACACCCCACCTAATCAATAAACCCTCACCTCACCCCAACCTAATCAATAAATTCCAGTGACTTCCTAGTGCCTTCATGAGCAAAGACAAAATGCTGTGTTTGGCATTCTAAGCCCTTCATACCTCTATACTTTACTTCTTCCCTTTCTCCGCTTTCTGTTTCTAGTTGTTCTCCATTCATGACATTCCATCTCACGCTTCTCCTCACTTCAATCTTATAGGATACCCATCACACCCTAAACTGTGTTCCCCTTCACAGCTCAAGTGCCAGCTCCTGAAGGAAGCCTTTCTTGATCTCTGAATTTATTAGCACTCTTTCCCTCTTAAAATTGCTTTATGTATAGTTTGTATTCATTGTGTATGTGTCATGGGGGGTAGGGGGGCGGGGCATCTCCAGTCATCATGATCTATATCTTCCCACCGGACTCAGATGGCTCTGGAGGAGAAAAGTGAGGCTGGTGACTTTGCACAGCCCTACCTCACTTAAATTTACCAATTCACTTGCAAGTCGTGACATCACCTTCCTGATGTCATGGTCCTCATTGAGAATTAAGGACAAATAACAATCATCCTCACCAGAAGGTAAACTCCTTGAGGACAGAGGTTATTTCTTTTACTTTGTATTCCTTATGTCTAGCATGGTGCTGTGCACTATTGAATTGAATTATGTGTTAGGAAGATTCTTGTTTGGTTATTTATAATATTATTTCAAAGGGAAAATGTGTTCTGAGATCCAAATAATTTACATACAAATATACTTTTGGAAAACAACCTCCTTTTTTTTAATTTTAAATTGGTGTTTTAT